CATGATTGATCTGAAATCCCCATAGAACCAGGAAAGCGATATTCTACATAATTAACATAGACTGAAGCCAAGTTACTCGTAGCTAACCACCAAGACCTTTGCTACCCATGTTAATCTGAAAACACCATCTACAGGAGAATATCCTTCCCTGGATCGGAGGAGGAGTGGGCCTTACCCATCCTTGTAGAGTTGAATGGATTGTTTGTCACTATTTGCTTGCCTCACTGTATTTTCACTGTTCTCTCTCCCCAATTTAACCCCATTGCTTTAGTAATATATATATATGGTTTGGGAATGTTACCTATATTCGTGTGTTGTTCAGATTTTATTTATGGTAGGAATGACTATATATTTCTATCGTTTCTTTGCATTAGGTATATATTGTGATATTATATTATAAGGGACAGTTGGTCAATATATGCATTTGGCTGGATTACTGATAACTATACCAACGTGAAGACCTGTTGGAAATGCAAATATATTCTGACTGTGTGTACCTGTCTGTGTGATCATATAACCAGTTTAAACATGAAAATAAAAGCAAAATTGCAAAACACATATTTCACTTTCATGAAGTAAAAATGCGGATAACCTATAGCTAATACAAATGATGACATATGAAGAGAATGAAAATGTATTAACAAGTTTTTAGAATGACAATACAAATGTATGTAAGTAAGCAAGTAAATAATAATAATAATGATAATGATAATAATAATAATAATAACAACAACAATAACGATAATAACACTAATAATAATTGTAATAATGATAATAATAATAATAACAATAATAATAATAATGATAATAATAATGATAATGATATAATGACAATAATAAGAATGATAATGATGAGAGCAATAATAACTATAATAATAAAAATAACAGTAATAATAATAATAATAATAATAATAATAATAATAATAATAATAATAATAATAATAATAATAATAGAAACTGAAAGAGAGGAAATTCGTGGAAAAGGTGTCATTCGGTTCTTTTTCTGTATTATTGGTGCATATCTGTTTGACAGATCTACTTTTTTTTTAGATTAAATGAGACAGACAAATAGATAGACAGAGACAAAGATAGGGAGATAAAGAGTGAGTGAGATGGAAAAAAAAAATATGTATCCATAAACGCTTAAAAGCAAAATATTTCACTGGAAACTGACATTGTTTGCGTGTGATACTTATCGTCACTGTCTTGTGCAATCAATACAGAGCTAATGTTTGCTAAATATCAAGTTAGACCATACTCTAATGCCTAACCTATAAACGTACACTTGCCAGCATACACACAGACACTCAGACAAATGTTATGTCCACAGATAAATTGACAGAAAAGTGGGTAAAAAAGATAAATAAATAAAAGGGAAGGTTGGCAATAAATAGACAATAAATAGGCCGAAATGGAGATAAGGAGGAAAAAAAACGGGTAAATCTCGAAGTGAACAAAACCATTTTTTTTTTTTTTTTTGAACCCGAAACTTGCAACATCGTCCCTTAAAACGATAACACGATTCTTGTTCCTAATTTCATCAAGCCAAAAAAGGCCAACCTGCCTCTTAGAAGAACCTCAAGGATTCTGTTCTCTTATCCTGACCGAGGCAAGGTCCCCAAAAGGCTCAGAGGGATACTGGGAGCTTGATGAACACCTTCCTGCCGCGAAGAGGATCTGAAGGAGATTGCAACTGATAAGCCTACGCCCCTGTTACGCCCTCCTTCGGGGCCTCCTTCTGCCTTTCCACCCAGCACCTCACGGCTGTATGGGGAGCCATTGAATCAAACAGGATCCCCCTTCTGGATGGTCATTCCGCCGTATTAGTTTTTTATGATGCGATTCCTAAGCTTATTTTGCATATTGACGAGAGTACCAACTGGCCCCTGGATCACTATTGAGGGTAATGGGTTGCAGAGGAAGATTCGTTACGGAGGCTGTTGCATAATGGCATGAGTGCTAGTTTTACACGCGAGTTTTGTTAGAGTATTTTTGTTGTGCTCAGCCCCTCTGAAGTGATGCGTCCTCATCTTAACTAAAAATTGTTCTTGATTTGTAGAATTTATGACTTGGTTCCGTGTGACTGTCTATCCCCTGATTTAATTTTCATTTATTATTATTATCATTATTATTATTGTTATTATTATTATTATGTCGTTGTTTGATAAAAAAAAGACTGCATTTGCAGACATCGATGATATTGTTGATGATAAAAATGAAGATGATGATGATATAATGATGATGATGATGATGATAGTAATAATGATAATGATAATGATAATGATGATGATGATAGTAATAATGATAATGATAATGATAATTAAGATAACACACATAGTATGATAAAACATATAATGACATAGACTTGCCAAGCAGCGAATCAATCATGAAAAATATCAGCAGAAAACCTTGCATTCAATTGTTCGGAAAACTTCTGATAATTTTCAGTTGAATGTTTCTCACGCAAATTCCATGTCACGCATACCCTTCGTAGAACTGT